AAATAAATAAATAAATAAATAAATAAATAAATAAATAAATAATAAATAAAAATAGTTCAGAGCTGGATATGGTGGCTCACATTTATAATTCCAACACTAAAGATTTTGAGGATTTCCTTGACTCTTGGGCCTGACTGGGCCACAGAGTAAGGTGTTTTCTCAATACTCAAACAAAGCAAACAACAACAAAAAATGAAAAAAAGGAGAGAAAAAGAAAGAGAAAGGAGCAAATGGCTTTACTTTCCTGCTAAATTCTGTCAAACACTTAAATACCAACTATTCTCAAAATTATAACCAAAAAATCAAAATAAAAGCAATATGTACAAATTCATTTCTACAGGGACACTATAAGAAACTATAGCTATAAGGCAATAATAGCCCTATCAAGTTAGAGGCAAACATCATCAGCAAAATACAACACAAGTTAAAGGATAAATTAAAAGAGCTGCACATGATGGTGAGGACTTTAATCCCATACCTGGGAGGCAGAAGCAGGCAGATTTCTAATCAAGGACAGCCTGGCCTACATAGTGAGTTCCAGGACAGCTGGGACTATAGGAAGACACTGTCTCAAAAAAGTATGTATTAAGAGAATAGTGTTTTATGATCAAGAAGGGTTTATCCCTAAGATGTAGCGAGGGTTCAACATGCACACTTGAAAAAAGGTAACAAAATGAAAGATAAAATTCATAAGATCTCATATGAAAAATTAGAATTTTTTTTTACCAAATTCATCACCCTTTAATGATGAAAACTATTAACAGACTGGATACAGAAGGAATGTATCTCATATGAATTAACATATTTTCTCAGTAGTGGAATGTTAAAAAATTAATGTTTCCTTTAATAAGAGGAAACGACAAACAGCGGTGGAAAGATTCTAAAAGGTAGAGGTCGGGGAAGAATGTTGTGGAATAGTGTCCTTTGAACCTGACAGGGCTCAGAAGCTCACAGACCTGGGGTCTCATACACAAGACCAATCAAAGGTCAAGCTAATCAATACTCCAACATGGAAAGGAGAGATGCTCACTCTACTCTACCCCTAACTGAGGACCTTTTGACAGATGAAGGATGCTAGGGGATATATTTTTTCTCATAGAAACCTAAAATAAATCAGTAAATTATGGTATAACTGCAAAGTTTACAAAAGCAGCCTTGGACAAAATGTAAAATATTCTATGGTTCCAAAATATTTACAAAGGATGTTAATCAAAATTGCATGCTATTCATATCAAAAAACAAATTGATCAACAGAACAAGAAAAACAGGAAAAATTCCCACACGTATTTTCAACTGACTTGACAAAGGCATCAAGAATAAAGAAGAAAGAATAATTTCTTTGATAAACAGTGTTGGTTATATTGTGTACAAATAGTCCAAAGAGCAACATCGTGTCTACATTACACCACTGCCATTGCACCTGGTTACCTGCTACAACTTGATGGGCAGACCCTGTTGCTAATGATAGCACACACATGAGGCATAGAACAAACAAGGAGATATCAAGCTGGTATTGACCTTGAAGTTTTATCTCTACCGACTGGCTTTCATAGTAATAGTAGGTGGCATGCATGTTATTGGCAGAGAAAGGTAATCATCAGTCTTACTCATCTGTGAACACTGTGAGATACATTAACAACTGGTGTGGCAAAATATTGGTGCAAGACTGGCACAAATGTTATAGGATAGGAATGACCAAGAAACTTATAACTGAATTTAAGGCCTACTTCATAAAATGGATATCATAATTTACACTGTTACATTTAAATATGAACATTCTTATGACCCCACCACAAAAAAGCATGACTTTCTCAGCAGAATCCCTAAAACATGACAAAGAAATAACAAATACCTTGAAATTCCACAAATTTGGTATAAAATTCAAATATTTTGAAAACAGCACCTAAAGTAACGCCTTTTCCATTCCAACAAATAGTACCTGAAATGAAATGTTATTAATAGCTTTTTAGATAATTTGCTGCATGTGAGTGTGGGTTTAATAATATGGAAATGAATGTTGGCATATATATATATATGATATATAAGTGTATGTACACATACACACAGAAGTAGCAAACACATATAGAGAGAGTAACTAGCTGTGAGTTAATTGGGAATGTTAAAAGCGACACCTCTAATCTCTAAAACTTATTTCTTCTCTTTTAGCATAAATCACATAATTTTTAAATTTTTCGTGGAATTGACTTACGATGGGTTTCTTTCTTTGTTTAGTTTAGTTTTGTTTTTAAGACAGGGTCTCCCTGTCAGCCCAGCTGGCCTGGAACTTGCTATATAGACCATGCTGGCTTCATAATAGAGTCCCCTCCTTGCCTCTGCCTCTGCCTCTTGAGTGCTGGGGTTAAAGGTGTGTGCCACTACTCTTGGCATTGACTGTGGTTTTAAAAGGAAATCCATTTGAATTGATATGTAGCATGGAAATAAGTTCACAGATAATTATATTGTATTTTGTGTGATTAGACCTTTCAATGCAAATTTCAGTGTAAACATTCTAACTAAACTGCTGGATTTTAAGTTTTTAATTTCTGGGCATGGAATTTATTAATCATTACTCCATAAAGCCCCTGTTGTTACCAGGATGCTTTGGTAATGATTTAGGACTAAAATCCCCACTATCTGTGGGGATATTAGCTTTGAAATCTCTCAGGTAATATCATAAGTTATTTAATCTTGCTAAATATTTTAAATCTTTATCAACAATTTATTAAATATATATTTTATGTGCTTATAACAAATAGACATCATGAAATATAAGTGAATTTAAAAATGTATGGTTTTAGAGATAATACTTTAACTTAAAAAATAGTTGCTGACAAAAAACAATCATAAAATGTTATTGACTCATGTGTTTGTTAGTGGACATAGAAATGCTTTACATTTCAGCTGAAATTCAAATTCAGTTTAAAATGAGAGATGCCCAGCCCTAAGTGACACATCTATAGTAGACTATTGCAGAAGAGGGAGCAGAAGGATTGTTAGAGCCAGGGATGCTGCATGAACACAAGGAAACAGAGTCTTCCAGGCCTCTGGGAACTTGCTCATATGTACAGCAATAGTGACAGCATCCACAAGACCCGTGCAGACTCAATCTGACAAAATCCTAGCTTAGAACTGAGGAAACAGGCAGCAGGCCCAAACCTTAGTGAAGGAAATACTGGCAATTGATTACTGCTGGGTGAGGGAGAGCTGATCTTTAAGGGAGTGACTCTAGACAGGCTGACTAGACTCCAGTGGATGAACTCGCACTGAGGGACATCTGGGTACAAATGTTTGACCAGATAGGCCTTACCATACATTACAAAATGCATGATAACTAGTGGGAGGGCAGGGGATATAGGCAGGTGTGAATGGGGGAGAGGGTCTAAATATGATTAAAATTTATTATATGAAATGCATAAAAACTCACTAAAAATATTCATTAAAAGTATTTAATGACTTGCCATTCCTATTTCTTTTCTGTACATAAGGTATCGTATTTCTCTTTTCTCAGTTAGTTTTCTGTATACACAAAATGAGCTGAAATCCATGCTAATAGGAAGTCATTAAAAATGTTTTTTCTCAAAATCTCTGGGTATATTAATTAATGTAGCGAAAACTTTTGCGGACACTCTTTTTTTAAACAGAGTTCAAATACAAATTTTATTTAGTATTTCTGTTTCTCACAGAGCAGACATTTGGACATAAAGTTTTAGTCAGGAATATGCAACACTTAGCATTAGGTGTCAGGTTAACAACACATACTCATAGAGGAGAAAAACAAAATCACTCGATCTTGGATTTGCTTGGTCTTCACTCCATAAATGATAGGGTTGAGCATTGGGGGTACCACCACGTAGAGGTTGGCCACCAGGGTGTGAATGTGACGAGGGATGGTTTTGCCTCCAAAGCGATGGGCAAAAAATGAAAAGAATGCTGGTGTGTAGAACATAAGAATGACACAAATGTGGGACCCACATGTGTTAAGGGCCTTGTATCTGGCAGTCCAGGAAGGAATCTGAAAAACTGTGCACAGAATCATAGTGTAGGAAATAATGATGAGTATTACATCCAACCCTGTAGACAAGAGGGCCATGGTTAGTCCATATATGATGTTGCCCTTGATATCATCACATGCCAATCTGGCAATGCCCATGTGCTCACAGTAGGAATGGGGAATTATGTTCCTCCCACAATATAAAAGACGATATACTAGGAAGATGAATGGACAGCAAATGAAAAAACTCCTGACCACAGCTGCTGTGCCGATCTTCCTAATGACTGAGGAGGTGAGGATGGTGGTGTATCTCAGTGGGTAACAGACGGCCACATAGCGATCAAATGCCATGGCCAGGAGAATAGCAGATTCTGCCACAAAGATGAAATGTATGAAGAACATCTGCGATACACAGCTACCAAAGGATATCATCCTGGAATGGAACCAGAAGATGGCCAGCATCTTGGGGGCTGTGCTTGTGGAGAGCAGGACATCAGCTAAGGCCAGCATGGAGAGGAAAAAGTACATGGGCTCGTGGAGACTGTGCTCGGTCACTATCAGGAAGACCAGGAAGACATTGCCTATGACAGCCACAATGTACATAGAACAGATGGGGATGGCGATCCAGGTATACAAATCTTCCAGTCCAGGGATTCCAATCAAAATGTACCATATATCCTGGGGACTAGTATGGTTCTGAAAGGAAGGTGTCATCTTTATTGTCTACTCCAGCCCTAGGACTTTAATAAATACCACAAGATTGAAGATTCAGTGGTACTGCCAAGGCCAAATAAGATCTGAGCGATCTTTTCCCAATATTTTAATCTGTGTGAAATAAAAAAATAAATAAATAACCTAAACATGTACACTTTCTATCAAAGAATTCATTCTTGCATCTTGGAAACAGAATTATCATTTACTAAATATTTAATACATATTTTATCACGTTACTTATATAAGCTTACTAAATCTTACCACAGCCCATCGTAAAGACCTCTACAAAATCCCACAGCATATGCACTATTAGTCACACATGCAGAAAAGGAAGGCCCCATAGACTTTCAGTTTCCCACACTGGAACCCAGTGAATTAAAAATTCCAGCAGAACAAATGTGAAAGTTCTGAATTTAGTCACCATACAGTACTAAATATCAAAATAAAAGAAGACTCAGAAGCAAGAATTAAGTTTTTCACTCATCACACCCTTGTGGAAAATCGATATGAAATTGAGATTTACTGCCCAGAAAAGAGAGAAAGAATTAACTCTGATAAGGTAGATTTCAAGCCGTGTGGTAAATGCCCTATTCTATGTTATTAGACCACTAAATTGAGGCTAAGTCATGGGGTTGCAAGAGTGAGCTAAATGTATCCTGCTCTGCCTGTTAACCGGTTCCTCAAAGCTAAAGGTGGTGTCAAAGGTCGAAACCGTTTGCAGTGCCAGACTTGCCAGGTTCTGAGATGGGGAAGCCTGTTATGTGGAGAAGAAAAATTACTGTAGTCTAGACAGTTTCAGTCACTGATTGAAAATTAGACAATACACCTTGTATAGTCAAGTAAACCACAGCATCAAATAACTCAATGTTTTTGCACAATGAAGCATAAATGGACCTTGAATTAAAAAGACAAAGTTCGTTTGAGTATTACAAGAGGAGATAAAAGCAAAGGCAAAGATATTACACCACTAAATGGTGTGTGTGTGTGTGTGTGTGTGTGTGTGTGTGTGTGTGTGTAAAATTCTGGATTAGACATAGATGTAATATTTGTTTTTGTTGTGCTTTTTGTGTTTTGAAAAAAATTGTTATTTTTATTTTCTGTGTATGAGTGTATTGCCTGCATGTGTGTAAATGCATCCGCGTCGTGTAATGCCCGCGTCGTGTAAAGGGCATCAAATTCCCCTGGAAAATCTTTTGTGATGTTGTGGATGCATGAATATGTCACAATGAAACAAATTTTTATATGTTTAACAGAAAATTAATTTTAAAAATGGGAAAAAAGAAGTGACTGTCCTTTATACCGTGCTTTCACTAAAGCTCAGTATACTAATTGTGTGCCAATACACTGCATCGTGTCAACTTTTGTTTATTACTATATGCTAAATATCCTTTATATGACTGACGTATTTGAACATTGTTTATGTAATTATGGTGAAATGCATAACACTCAGACACTCTGACCTTGCCACAAATAGGCATGGGATTCTTTAAAAATGTTAGACTAAAAAGTTAAAATGTTTATATCTGTGATCTACTTCACTCGCTCACTTAAACCAATGGGTACATGGGGCTTCTTAGGGCATGAGAGTACACAGAAAGTAGCCTTAGGATTCTGATAAGCTATTGTTTGTTTTGTCTTTCACTGTAATATTCACTGTAATTTATAATTACTTAAATTGTAGACATAGGCTTCTGTGGCATTATTCTGTGATAATAGCGGTGGCTTTTCTGGCTGTGGCTGCAAACAATCTCATTTGAACACTAGGTGAGTCGTATTCTGGCTTTCTGGCACAGGAAAGCTATGTAGTTTGAACTCTAGTTCTTTTACTGATAAATTACTGAAATTAGGACCATTGTACGTATCTATCCATTCTGAAGTCAGTATTTCAGGATGACGTCTACATAAATCAGATATACCTCTATTTAAGCAACAGGTAACATTAGGGCACTTGTAAAGTTACCATCATTAAGGGAAAACTGCTTCTGTAAAGAGGTTAACTTTCTGGACTTCAGCCTAATTGAGACTGAATTGGTTTAGAATGTACAACAAAACAAGATGCATTTTCTTATGCTGGCTACATTTGGTCAGTTAGCAATCAATACTCTGAAATCGTCACTATTTTTATTAAGTATACTTATTTTTATAATGGAAAAATTAATTTCTAAAGGAATGTTGTTCTTACCTGGTTTCTAGTCTAACACCTCTGTTACTTATAGAAAACTGAGTTAACATCTCTGTATTTAAACCTCTTGATCTACATCTAGATCAGTACCTGATATTATAACACTTAGTATACTTTGTGAAAAATATGTATGCATACCCTCCGGTATATGTAAGCATTATCTTCACTAAACTTTGTTAACTACTAAGCCTTATTTTAACCACTAGGAATATATTGCATCTATGTATGACCTTCAGATATTTCAGATATTGGTGGCAAGAATTAGTCATAGTAGAAATATAGTCTAAGGGAGACAAAGTCTTCTATGGTGACCCATTTAACAAAAATAATAGAAACATCCAACTATTGTGGACCAACTCTAACTAAAGTTAAATGTTTCACTGTATAGGTTAGAAAAACAAAACTGTTAGTTAACTTCTTGAAATAATAAACAGATCTTTCAGTTTCCTGAGAATTTTTTTTCATGTCAACTTCTGCAAAATTCGGTTTACTTACTAGAATCTGTTAGAAATCTGAAGATATTTGACAATCTTAAGAGGAGAAGGAAAAACAGCAAGGAAATGTCCAAAGCCCAAACATAAAATCTAAAATCATCTATTTATACCTCTTTTTAGGCATCCCTTGAGCCCTAGATGTTCGGCCCCAGAGGATGGCATGTTCCTCCTCCTACAGGAGATTGCCCAGGGCTGGTTGTTCCCCTCTGGGAGCTTCCTTCCCCTTCTTCCTCTACAGGTGGTGCCACATTTCTTCTGGTTAGCATTCTCAGACACCTGTATTAGCACATATTTTGTTTCCTGTTCATATTTTCTTTGCATGTCAGAGCCTTGTGCAAGACAAGCACATTCTGTTCCCTTGGGGCATCTGCAAACATAGAGTTGTAAATACCATGTAGGGGAGAAGCATCGCAGACTTTGTAGACTACCTGACATGAACGTTATCTTCAGCACATTCCTTCATATCTTATGTCTCTTCTGTTGGTCACATGTTAGGATTAGTCACCACTAGAAGGACTCAGAACTGCAGTCAGATAGTGTAGACATCTCCTTTTGCCTTCCAATGATATTGTTCTACATTTAGAAGTTTTTATGCTTTTAATTGTATGTATGTGTGTGTGTGTGTGTGTGTGTGTGTGTGTGTGTGTGTGTGTGTTGGTGTGGATGTCCACGGAGGCCAAAGGTACCAGATCCCTTTGGAATTGGAGTTATAAGCTGTTGTGAGCTGCCAAATATAAGTCTACTGGTGGGAAAAATAGCAACAAATAAGACCAGTGGTTGGGCATTGCAGGCCACCTGATAATAATATCAAACCTTCAGATTTTCTTCCTTCTGCCTTTATTTTTCCCACAAATGTATTTTAGTTGGATGCAAACAAGAACAAAACCTACTTCAGTAAGTTCTTATGTGATGTGCAACTTGTTATTCATAACCTTCAATAGACGTCGGCTACCTCAAATGGAGAGGCATGCAGTTAATTATCAAAAGTTCTTGGACTACACAGAATTTAGAAAAGTTTGGTGATGACATTCTTGATATCACTGAGGTCTTCACTACTCCCTTTTTAATCATATAGGTACATACTTCTGTGGTTTACAATGAATATCTGGGTTGTGTAAAGCTGACAATTAAAGCACACTATGGAAAATTCATTATATAGCCACCTTTTAAAGGTCATTCCCTGTGTGTACCAATGGGGGGCAGACGTGTTCTATTTTCCCCCTCTCTTTAAGGATGTAGAAAAGGGACCCGCTTTTGAACTGCATAATTTTAACTGTGCTGAAGGTCCCCTAGGTCTTGTAATGGCTGAAAACTTAGATAAGAGCCTTCTGCAAGGTTTTACAAAGAACTGGAGAATTAGAGGTTCTGAATATGCTGATAGCAACAGAACTATTAACCGCAAACAGGATTTTTAAATACCAGTTTACATGAATTACTATGGATATTCATTTTAAAAGTGCTCTTTTTTGACTTAGCTATTTTTTTATTCATTTTATATTTTATAAAATGTCTATTCACAATAACCTTATCTTAGCTGAACTATAAAAGTTATTATATGAAACTTAGAAACATGATAAACCATATGGGATTTAGTACATTTATTTAGCTGTGGCTATTTGTATATTTTGAGTAGTTTACATAAAAATTTAGATTATTATCCATGCATGTAGATAGATGCCTTTAATCCCAGCCCTCAGGAGGCAGAGGCAGGCAGATCTCTGTGAGGCAAAGGCTAGTCTAGTCTACATAGTGAGTTTCAAGTCAATTGAGGCTACACGGAGACCCAGTCTCAAAAAATATTAGATAATTTAACTGTTCTAAGACATAAATGATCTCTTCCAAGAGAATTTATCTGTTTTGGGTTCCTTTATAATTTTCTTTTATTTATGAACTATGAAACAAATTAATCCACACATAAAAATGAAAATGAAGAAAGCAGAAAAGAATCAAATGAATTTTTAAAAATTATTTATTATTTTTATGTTATGTGTGTGAGTGTATTGCCTGCATGTATGTAAGTGCACCCGTGTTATGCAGTCCACAGAGGATAGAAGAGGCCATTGGATCTCCTGGGAACTGGAGTTACAGACAGTTGTTATCTGCCACGTGGGTGCTGGGATTCGACCCAGGTCTTCTGCAAGAACAGCCAGTGTTCTCAACCGCCAAGCCATCTGTCCAGACCAATACTTATAGATTTTATGGGCTGTTTTGTATTATTGACCTGATACAACATTACATTTTTTTTATTGTTGGGGAAAGTATTCTTATTCCTTGCATGGGAATGCAAAAATGAAAGATGTGATGAAGATGATGGTCATAAACAGCTACACCAAAGCCAGGAGAAACAAGTGGACCTGGAGTTCCGCACCACAGGTTTCTGCCTGATGTCTTTTTCACAAACTCTTTCTTCTAAGTATACTGCCTTTACTTTGACCATCTTCACCTCTGTACACTCTTCCTCTTTTATTCTAGTCCCCTTCCTTTATTCAGAGAGCTCTTCTACTTTTCTCGTATATTATATCTGTCACACATATGCATATTATATATTATATACATTTATGTAATCTAGATGCACATTATGAAAGAAAATATAATATTTATCTTTCTTAGTCTGACTAGATGTCCAGTTCCATTCTGTGGGTGAATAAATATCCATTGTGTATGTGTTCCACATCTTCTTCATCCAGTCTTCTGTGAATGTTTACCAGGGCTGATTCCGTAACTAGGCTATTATGAATAGTGCTGCATTGCACGTGAATTGGTCGGTGACTGTGTAATGGGATGATCCCCTTGGCTATATTCCCAGTACTAGCACAGGTTGTATATACAGTAGTTCGATTTTTAGATTTGGAGGAGCTTCCACCCTGACTTCCATAGTGACATTACAGGTTTGCTGGGTATCAAAGGATCCTGGGATTCTAGGATCCTAGTGGACTTGACATTTAGCTTGGCTGAATCTTCCTATAATGTACACACAAATGAAAAGCTCATTTTGTGCTCTATAAATATATATACACACAACTATTATTTATCAGAACTAATAAGAAGTATTATATAGAATTATGTTTATCTTAGAAAAAAGATTCATTCAGGGAAAATCAAACTATTTGATTACACTCACATGCCTAATGAAAATGTCATTAATAATGACACTTTGAATTCTACACTGGCACAAATTACCAGCATCTACATCTTTTTGCAAGGTTTTAGAAGGTAAATTAGTATCTCAAGTTTACCTGTTTTATACCCAATAGAAGAAAGCAGTATTTGGCCAGATGACTACAAATATTTTCAAGCACTGAAAACATGTTTTTATGCATAAAAATGTCTATGATGGTTATAAGCAAGAAGTTTCCAACATATATCCCTCAATAAATCACTGGGATTCCAAATTCCAAAGGAGACAGAAAAAAACCTTCAGAGCTGGCATGGTAGCACATGCCTTTAGTCCCAGCACTCAGGCAGCATAAGCAAGCAGACCTCTGTGTGATTCATGCCAGCCTGCTATAGCCAGTATCAGGTCAGCTGGGCTACAGGGAAACCTTGTCTCAAAAAGTCCAAAATAAATAAATAAATAAATAAATAAATAAATAAATAAATAAATAAATAAAAATAAAAATAACCTTCATGAAATCCCAGGATCCTAGGATCCCGGGATCTTATGACACACAGCCCTCAGATATGGTTTCTTGACTGTGATTTATTCAGAGACAAATAGTTATCTTAACCTTCAAATAGCAACTTTGCTGAAGGAAAAATTCACCCTCTCTAGCAGAATTTGAAACTAAATGAAAGAGCTTTCATGTACAGCCACTTTATTATTTTTTATTGTATATTTTATTGAATTTTTGTGCATTTCATACATCTTCATCAACTTTATACCCCCTTCCCCATCCACACCTCCATAACCCGACCACCCACCATCACAGTTCATGCATTCTGTCTCATATGTCAAACCCTATCTAGTCATGTTTGTGTGTCCAGATATCCCTCTGTGCAAGTTCATCCTTTAGAGGCTAGTCCGTCTGTTTAGAGTCTAACCCTTCAAGAAGATCAACTCTCCCCTGTTTCCCCTGTTCTATGCTGGATTTTTGTCTGATTGAGTCATCATGGGTCTTGTGCATACCTCAGCGTTGCTGCAAGTTCATATGAACAAGTTCCCTAGGGCCTGCTTTAT